ATCCCCAGTAGGGGGTGTGTAGGAGGCAGCCAGTCAATGATTCTCTCTCATCATTGATGTTTCTCTCTCTCTCCCTCTCCCTTTCTCTCTGAAATCAACAAAAATTAAAAATTTAAATAGGAGAGTACAGAGGATTTTCATGTAAGTGTGTCTTCTAGATGTTAAAGTAAATGTGATATATTTTAACATAAATGCAGTGGTAAAGATGGATTTTAAAAAAAAAAATTTTATTGATTTTTTTTTATGGAGAGGGATAGAGAGTTGGAAACATCGATGAGAGAGAAACATCGATCAGCTGCCTCCTGCACACCTCCTACTGGGGATGTGCCCGCAACCAAGGAACATGCCCTTGACCAGAATCAAACCTGTGACCCTTGAGTCTACAGTTGATCAGCTGCCTCCTGCACACCGCCTACTGGGGATGTGCCCGCAACCAAGGTACATGCCCTTGACCGGAATCAAACCTGTGACCCTTGAGTCCACAGGCCGACGCTCTATCCACTGAGCCAAACCAGTCAGAGCTAAAGATGGATTTTTATATTAAGACTGGATTTTTTTATAGCAATGGACTAAAGAATTTGAGTTTTCTGTTTCTATAGTTTTAGAAAATACTGAAAGTTGAAAGATAGTCTTTTATATTAGAGGTTTTAAAAAATATCTATTAGAGCCCAGCTGTTGTGGCTCAGTGGTTGAGCATAGACCTATGAACTAAGAGGTCACAGTTCAATTCTCAGTTGGGGCACATGCCCGGGTTGTGGGCTCGGTCCCCAGTGGAAGGCATGTGAGAGACAACTGGTTGATGATTCTCTCTCATCATTGATGTTTCTATCTCTCTCCCTCTCCCTTCCTCTCTGAAATATATATCCATATATATATGAAAAATATGAGTTCCTTCAATTTAAGGAAACAACTTGAAAAAAGAATTTTACTTTGGTAAAGAAATTCTTGGACCAAACTTACTCTTGTCTTCAACATATCATTCATTGGGATTATGTTCTTTTGAACAATATTAGGATTGTTTTTGTTTTGTTTTGTTTCTACTTAAACAGTGGGACAAAGTAAACGTAAGATGTTAATGCAAAATGAAGATATAAGTGTCACTGACATTTGGTAGAGTTGGATTATTACTATGATAATCAATTGTCAGGTATAAATATTTATATTTGAAAATCTGTGACTCTGACCCAAGTCTTTTGGTTGTTAAGTGACAGAAATCCAACTCAAAACTAGTTTGGGGAGTAAATGGGGACTTTGATAATTTAGTAATTATGTGTATAAGTATAATAAGTGGTTAAAATCATGAACTTTGGAGCCAGAGTGCCTGAGTTTAAAAACCTGACTCCTCCACTTGTTAGTTACCTGACTCTAAACAGTTACTTTTTCTCTTTGTGTTTCAAGTTTCTTATCTCTCTCTTTTTTTTTTAAGTGGATAAAGTAACCCTCATAAGGTGAGGTAAAATGAGGTAATATGTTAAGCACTTTGACCTTATCTAATACGAGATGAGTCAATTAAGTGTTAGCTGTTAATTAGATAATAGTTATTTCCAGAAAAATAAGAGCCATAAGCGGGTCCTGGGAATGTATGTTGTATAAATAGGCACTCTTTTTATCTGTATGTTTATTTTAGAAACTCCGTAGTCTGTTCTAACCATGGTTGGCTTATAGTAAGCACATATGTATATTGAATGAGTGAATACATGAATGTAAATGTATTCTAAAGGTACTGCTTTGTGAATTGAAAGAATTTTGCTGACCTAATGAACTTTCTGATTTCAGATTTGAAAGATTGGAAGTCCTGGCTGTGTTTGCCTCCACAGTCTTGGCACAGTTGGGAGCTCTCTTTATATTAAAGGAAAGGTACATTTGTGTATGATGTTACTGTCATTCTAAATTCCATCTGTGTTACCTTTGGGAACATAAAGAATCTAGTGAGAGACAGTCTGGTTTATAGGGTATACAAATTAAGATGAATAGTGCTGGAGTTGTTTGTTTGTTTGTTTGTTTGTTTGTTTGTTAGAGGAAGGGAGAGGGATAGAGAGTTAGAAACATTGATGAGAGAGAAACATCGATCAGCTGCCTCCTGCACACCTACTGGGGATGTGCCCACAACCAAGGTACATGCCCTTGACCAGAATCGAACCCAGGACCCTTCAGTCCAGTGCTCTATCCACTGAGCCAAACTGGTTAGGACATTGTGCTGGAGTTTTGATAGTACAGTTTATTCATATTTTAGACTATTCTCCCTCCTTTTCGTCCTCTTTTATGACCTTTGAGGCTACTGAATCCAATTATAGGTAGGCTTGAATGAAAGAAAGGATTCAGTGAGATGTGCTGTAATTCTTAGTACTACAAACCCATTGAAACAGGTCTGGTAGAGAAAGATTGACATTACATATTGTGGATAATGAGTCTCCTTGCCTTATTATTGCTAATAATCAACAGTTGGTTATCACATTAAAGATTTTGTGAATTTATTGGGTTAATAATTTGTTTAATAAAGCTTTTTAATTTTATAATTTATAGGACTTATTTAATACATTATTTCTTCCTTTTAGTGTAGAACGCTTTTTGGAGCAGCCCGAGATACACACGTAAGATTTTGCTTTTGACATAACATATAATTTACTCTTACTAACTTAATTGGCATATTATTAAATAGCTGTTACTTTGGTCAATATTAGAGTTCAGAGAATGGCAGAATTCATTTCATTGGTATTTCACAAACAAAATCTCCAAATCCCAAGATTCCTTCTTTTCACCCTTACTGTTCCCAAGCCGTTGTACTGCAGAGGAAGGCCTCTCTACCATGGCTTCAGGTCCCTCATTATTTCCAGGCCCAGGGCAACACACTAAGCCAGTCCCGTCTCGTCTTCTATAATTTGATTCTCAAAATCTTTTAGTAGCACCTGTAGAAATTGTTATTATTTTCCATATAGTTGCCAACTATATGGACTTCACCTATTTTTGGTCAGTTTAATTCAGGACAGTCTGACCTGTCCAGTGTACTATAAACCAAATACCATTTGCATTTATACAGATTTATAACAGCAGTTACAAGTAAGAAGATAGTGTTAATGCTAAGAGTCTTTTTTTGTCCTGTGTAGGGTGGAGCAACGGTATATAGCACATGGGTTATAGGGCTAGAAACCAAGTTCAGATTGTGGCTCTGCTACTATCAAACCATAGAAGCAGGCCACTCTGCCTTCCCATTTCTTTCTTAGTCTCTCTACATGCTGAAATTACATATTGATATTACCAAGAAAAAAATAATGGTGAATGTTATTGTTCTTTTTTAGGGGAAGATTATTAGTTGGTACTTTTGTGGCACTTTCATTCAACCTATTCACGATGCTTTCTATTCGGAATAAACCTTTTGCTTATGTCTCTGAAGGTACGATTTTTGCCATTAATAAAAAAATGTAATTAATCTCATAAAAACAAGTCTTTTGTTTGTTTTATTAACTTACAAGTCAATGAGAAAATACATTCTGAAGAGAAGAGAGAATTACCGCAAATGCTTTCAAGTTTTCTTTAAGCAGAGAATTATAAAACAAAATCTAATTAGTTCAAGCTTTATTACTTAAAAACAGGTAAGACTGACATATATTAAATTAAATGTGCCCAACTTGTATGGCTCATTGGTTGAGTGTGGACCCATGAACTAAGAGGTCACTGGTTTGATTCCCGGTCAGGCACATGCCCTGGTTGCGGGCTCCATCCCCAGTAGGGGACAACCAATCAATGTTTCTATCTCTCTATCCTCTCCCTTCCTCTCTCTCTAAAAAAAATCAATAAAAGCATATTTTAATTAATTAAATGTGATGAAAAATTACATTTATCAAATAACATGAATGAGATTTATATGTATAACCTACCTACAAAAAAAAAGTGTATTTCAAGCATTCTAGGAGCTTCAGGATATTTAGAATAGTTGATGTGCTCGTTAAAAATAATTTAATCCCGATAATTAAATAAGTTCTCAGATACTTCTCTTTGGCAGTGGTAGGTGGGCTGGCATATTTTCATGTAACTAAAGTTTTTTCTCTTGAAATATTCTTTTATTTTTAAGTCTTTACAAATTCAGACTGGTTATTTTACTTCAGCGGTGTAAAGGGTTAACCAGTGATTGATGAAGAGATGAGGTATAAACAAAAGTGGGCCATGGGCACAGACCTACATTTTGAAGCAGAGACAGTCGGGTCTTTTTAGGTCTCACTGCCTTAACACCAGAATAATCAAGAAGAAAACTTTCTGAAATGCCCATTCAAATTTAAACGACTTCGTGAATGTCATAAAGTATGAGTTATATTTGTATGAGTGACAGTAGAGTTTACTGCATGAACTTGAAAATTAAATAATAATATTTGTGATGACCAGCATTATTTATTTATTTATTTTTGGTTAATCCTCACCTGAGAATTTTTTTCCCATTGCTTTTCAGAGAGTGGATGGTAGGGAGGAAGGGAGAGAGACAGAGACAGAGACAGAGACAGAGAGACACATTGATTGGTTGCCTCCTTCACAAGCCCAGACTGGGGATGGGAGCTAACCCGAAACTCAGGTACGTGCCCATGACCAGGAATTGAACCTGAGACCCTTTGGTGCGTGGGTCAATGCTCTAACCTCTGAGCATACTGACCAGGGCCAAAATTATTTAGAGTTTACAAATTGTTGAGATAGTATCATGCTCACTTCGGAAATTTTAAAAAGATTCTGAGATTTACAAGCACTCTGATCTCTTTGTACAGATCAGAAAGAATCAAGAAGAGAAAGAATACTGATAATACCATGACCCTGAAATAACAACTGTTAACCTTTGTATTTTACCCTTTCATTTTGTATGCACATAGACATATTTTTGCATACCTATAATTGTATGGATTTAAAATTTTATGCCTTGTTTTTTTTCCAATTAACAGTGTCTAGAGAAAAAAATGCTTCCCTGATTTTGGGGATATTGATTTAAGCTGCTTATTAAGAAACAAAAGACTCAGAAAGAACCTTTGGCCTTTCCTGCCCTAAAGATTCAGACTGAGAAAAGTGCTCAGGAAGGAGAATTTAGGATGGCACCTTAGCCTGATTTGAATTAAGTCCAGTAAATAGGAGGGTTTCAGGCATGGCTTTGTTAACTAGAGACCCACTGTGTCCCATTGTTTCTGAGTCACCTCCCCAGGTTTTGCATGCCACCTGTGTTCCCCTCTTCAACTACCTGTAAATTGCCCATTCTCACTTCTGAAATGTAATATTCCACTTCCCTCCTTTCCCCTTTGTCTAAAAATGCCTTATATATCCAGTGTTGCCTCACTGTGTTTAGAATTTTCATAGATTTATCATGTGTGTGAGTTCTCCATGCACATGTATTAAACTTTTATTTTCTCCTGTTAAAAGGAAAGAAAAATAACGCTTTCATAATATTTTGTCATATGAATATTTTTACACATTAGTCTATTCCTATACATTCCCAGCTTTACTTTTTACAAATAATGCTCTAATCAGCTTTTTTGTATTAAATTTCTTGTATGCATGTAGGATAAATTCCTGGAGAAGAAATTATAAATGGATTAAAAATACAGTGTTTTTAAAGGCTTTGATATATATTACCAAACTCATTTCCAATAAGGTTATCTAGTTTGTATTTTCATTAGTTGGAAATGAAAGTTCCCAGAAACATCGTGATTTGTGACGTTAGCTAAAATTTGAGTGGAAAATAGTATCTACTAGGCATTGTGCTAAATGCTTTACATAGAATAACCCATTTCTCCCTATAACGTATGAGGTAAATTATTTTAATATTCCTATTTTACACTGAAGCCTGAGACATAAAGTCACTTACCCCAGGCCATACATCTAGGGAAGGGCGAGATGGAATTTGAAGTCAGGTATTCTGGCATCTGGGGCTGCTCTTAACTGTTCTACTACTAGAATAGTGGCTTTTGTGTAAGGTTTGGCAATCTTTTTTCTTTTTTATCAGAGTATACATTAAAAATGAATATTCTTAGCACCTGGGGTAACTGTAAGAGGACACTTGAGCCTGGAGGCTGCTTGTCCAGTTACACTACCCAATAGGTGTCTTTGGATGTAGCCAGGCCCCCACCTGGCCTTTCTGAGAGCTGAGGGAATTAATAATTGGTGTACTTATAACCTATTCTCAGCACACTGGTTAGAAAACTTTATGCTTTACAGTATAAAGAGCCTTTAAAACTTCAAATTAATAGTAATAATGATATGTGTAACTTCACTAATTCCTTCAGGTCAACTATAAATTGTAGTCAAAACTGCTTTTGGTTTAGTATCCTAAAGGCGTAAAAGAGGGAAAAGTTCTATAATTGAGGAGTAACATGTCCTTTTGTAATGTTAGGTGGATTATTGCCAAACTTATTTTGAACATTAAAGAAATCAAGTATTTTTGGTAGTGATTTCTTCTATATAGATAATTTGGTATTTTCTTCTTAAAGCTGCCAGTACAAGTTGGCTTCAAGAGCATGTTGCAGATCTTAGTCGAAGGTAAGATGTTATGGGTTTTCATGATATACATGATTTTAAAGGAATGCACAAGAAATGTGTATGTCATGGAAACTTACACAATTCATTGCTGAGGTCAGTATATGAATCTCACAGATCAGATTCTTATTCTTCCTTTTTCTTTTTAATTGATATAAGAGAGACCTTTATGAGTGAGCTTTGTTGCCAAATCCTCTGCTTTCTTTAAAAGATATATGATATTAAAAGACAAGTCATCTTTTATAAGATTTTCATCAGTATCACATGAGTTCTGCTAGCTAATGAATACTCTGTTTGTTTTACTCACAGCGTGTGTGGAATTATTCCAGGACTTAGCAGTGTCTTCCTTCCCCGAATGAATCCATTTGTTTTGATTGATCTTGCAGGAGCATTTGCTCTTTGTATTACGTATATGCTAATTGAAATTAAGTAAGTATTTTTTATTTTTGCAAAGTGTGTTTCCATTCCTGGGGCCTGACTATTAAGGTCATCGATGGGATGGATGGGGGTTAAGCTTATAGCACATTTGCTAAGTACATAAGCTGTGTAACTTTGGTCATGTCTTGTCCTCAAGTGGCTTCATCTGAAAAAGTAAGGGGGTTGTATTCAGTAAGTATTTTTTTATTACAATCTATAATGCCAAATTAATTCCCTACTGCTAATTGATGAGTGGAACACAAGAGGATGATAAAATAAGAGAAATAAGCCACAGCTTGCTATTTCTGAGAGAGGGAAGAGAAGAAGTAGGTGTGAAGCAATTTTTTTAATCCTCATTTGTTCTACTTATTGGTTGAATTGATTGATTCTCTTTTTTTTTTTGTAAATATATTTTGTTGATTTTTTTTTACAGAGAGGAAGGGAGAGGGATAGAGAGTTAGAAACATTGACGCGAGAAACATCAATTCAGCTGCCTCCTGCACACCCCCCACCAGGGATGTGCCCGCAACCAAGGCACATGCCCTTGACCGGAATCGAACCTGGGACCCCTCAGTCCGCAGGCCAGTGCTCTATCCACTGAGCCAAAGCGGTTAAGGCGAATTGATTGATTCTTGTATGTGCCCTGACTGGAGATCGAACCTGCAACTTTGGCTTATCGGGACTACGCTCTAACCAACTGAGCTACCCCGCCAGGGCCTTGCACATGCTGCTTTCAATGTCTACACTCTCTTCCTTCCATCCTCTCACTCCTCTTTGCAGGCTCAGCTCAAATGTCACCTCTTTTTATGTTTAACCTTTCTGGATTATCTCTCACCCAGTAGCCTCGACAGTCACTCCTATGTGCATCCATTCTCTATAGAGACTTCTCCTTTGCATGCAAAGGGCTTTATTATGTTTTCCACATGTGTTTCTTCTGCTATTTCAAAGGCAGGAACTAGGTCTTAACTCACGTCTCTATTCCAGCATGTGGGGAAAAGTTAAAAAGCGTGCTTGTAATCATGGGGATTTGGGTTTATCTTAGTAGAACAGCCTGAACTATTGAGATGTTGCACCTCGGAAGAACCTCACTTTGTGAAACTCCTGGCAAATTTTGAAAAATCTTAATAGTAATTATTGGAAAGTTATTATTTACAGGAAAACTAATAGAATCACTGATGAAATCCATTAGTGTCTCTGTATCAGAAATTACTATTTGAAGGGTTTTATTTGTTGCAGTAAGTGAACATATATGAAATCTTCCTTGTTGACAAGTAGATTGACTGAAAATGCTCACATTTTCTTCTTCATCATCATCTCTTCACACTAATTCACATAATTATTAGTTGTTTTCCCCCACTAAACTTTGGGAAGAAATAATTCAGAAAACTTTCTGTTTTCCTTTGAGATGTTTCAATTGCCAGTAGTGACCACTTGTGATAAAATGGTCCTTTAGATAATTAATGTTCCGTAGACTGAATTGTAAGAAGTTGAGTGAGGTATACATTTACAATTTAGAATTATTTTTTCCTTTTAGTAATTATTTTGCTGTAGACACTGCCTCTGCCATAGCAATTGCTCTGATGACGTTTGGCACTATGTATCCCATGAGCGTGTACAGTGGGAAGGTATTACTCCAGGTAAGGGTCTTCTTTCAGTGTGCATGCTTAATGTTAGCACGTTCTTCTACCAGATTGTGAAATTTTTGGCTTTTAGAAATGAAGCCAAACAATAATCTCTGAAATTTGTACACTACAAATTAGATGAAATTACATGGGCCCATAAAATAGGCACAAATATTCCTAACTTTGTAATATAAAACAAAATTATAAATTAAATTTTTTTTACCTCTGATAATGTTTCCATTGAAAACAATGCTACTTTTTAAAAGTTTTTAGATATTTACTTTCCTCTAATTTGTATAAATTTATTGTATAATCTGGTTATGATTTTCTTTTTCCTCTGTGATTGAATCAGTGAGAATTTTAAATTTCAAACTTAAAATTTAAGGGACAAATTATTAGTTATTAAAACAATGGGACAAGTCCAGGTACCTAGAGACAAGTACCTGAATGGGGAGGTAGTTTCCCAGGATTGGATGTGTGTGGAAGCCTAGCTTTTCCTTCTGTCTTTACCTCATGCCTTTTCTTAAACTTACAATATCTCCATCTGCAGGACCAGTAAATAACAATAAGATAGTAGTTGTTTAGTGCCATGCCCTATATAAAATGTTACTTCCTTAAACGTTTTTTGTTGAGTGCCTGGTTCTTTAAAGTTTATTTGTTCTAGAGATAGCAGCTTCTTTGTTAAGATAAGAAGTGAGCATGCGCTGGTTTTTTATGTTGCCCCACTACTGGGCCAGTTGAAACCTCTCCTTCCTAAATCATGATAGGGTACATGTCAAACAAAGCAGAGGTTAGTATAAGACCCAATATTCGTTTCTGGACCATTGTTGCAAAAATTTTTTTTACCTCCTTTGATGTATGTTTTATATTTCTCCCAGACAACACCACCCCATGTTATTGGTCAGTTGGACAAACTTCTCAGAGAGGTAAGATGGAATAATAAAATCATTTAAATTTATAATTTAGAATGCAAAGAGTGGGTACAAATAATACTTTATTTAACCCAACCCTATCTAGAATTTTAGGGGCGTTTGTGTTCTTAACTCATTAGGAAACATAACATAGTGACAAAAGTAGAAAGATTGAGGATTGCTCAGTCTGGAAGCCAAATTCACTTGAAATAGATGTGGAAGGTAATGATAGACCACTCTCCTACCTATATTAATGCTGTAACTTTTATGACTCTATAATAAAACTTAACGATTTGATTAAATCAACGCTCTTTTTAAAAAAAATATATTTTTATTGATTTTTCACAGAGAGGAAGGGAGAGGGACAGAGCGTTAGAAACATCGATCAGCTGCCTCCTGCACGCCCCCCACTGGGGATGTGCCCGCAACCAAGGTACATGTGAGGAACTGTATTTAAAGGGCCAGAAGGTTGAGAACCACTGTCTAAGGCAGTGATGGCGAACCTATGACACGTGTGTCAGAGGTGACATGCGAACTCATTTTTTTGGTTGATTTTTCTTTGTTAAATGGCATTTAAATATATAAAATAAATATCAAAAATATAAGTCTTTGTTTTACTATGGTTGCAAATATCAAAAAATTTCTATATGTGACACGGCACCAGAGTTAAGTTAGGGTTTTTCAAAATGCTGACACGCCGAGCTCAAAAGGTTTGCCATCACTGCTCTATCCACTGAGCCAAACCGGTTAGGGCAAACACTGTTTTTTAAATCTGTTGATTGCTTCACCATCTAACATCTTGATTTGTGGGTTTAGATTTTTGTATTGTTACACATTTCCACCTGCCAAATAATGGAGGAGCAAGAAAATTGAATTATTTGGATGTGAAAAGTGTTTTAAACTATTGGTTGTCAGTATCACAAAGGCTACTGTTATCAAGAGAGCTGGTTACTTGTCTCGGTGAGTGGAGCCTGTGCCACTGCACCGGGGGACCACACACTATGTATCTGGCCTTGGAATTTGCTTTTGACCCACATCCAAATAACAGTCTTCGTTTGGCAGAAATTTGTTGAAAGGGAATTCAGAGAAAGAAATGATAGAGAAGAAAGAAAAGAAAAAAACCTGATAGCACAAGTGCTGGCTATCCATATATGCCATATTGATAAAAAGAAAAGAGCCACACACTGTTGACAAGGTGGGGTGGGGCTGTAAAGACCCAATTCTAGAAAGATTGGTGCAGACAAGAAGCTGGGAAATAAGGCCTTGGCTCTGCTGCACAAGCAGAAAGGGTATCATAGGTAGTGGTCTGGCTTCTCTCGACTAATGAGTGTCCTCAGGCAGGGTTTGGCCATGTCATTCCTAGGCTCAGAGCAAGTCCATAGTGTGGCTGCCCTGTGTTGGATATGTCAAATGCAAACAACCCCATTTCTGTATTTTTTATCAGGTATCTACCTTGGATGGAGTTTTGGAAGTACGAAATGAGCATTTTTGGACCCTAGGTTTTGGCTCATTGGTATGTTTTCTACATATTACTTTAGTTATCATTTAAAGCATACTTTATAATTTTCAAAACTGGAAAAAATTATTTCTTTAAAGTTTTCATAGAGCCTTTGATTTCTGTTTTTGTTCAGTAGAGTCTAAATTGTAGGTGGATTCAGAAACCTAATTGAGATTAATGGGGGGATGTTTTTCTTTTTTCTTTTAAACCAAATCATCTTAATATTGAACTGTCCAGAGAAGACAAATTCAGTCACACATTCCTAAATATGAAAATGTTGCAAAATAAGAGGTGCAATTATTATTATTTTTTAATATATTTTTATTGATTTCAGAGAGGAAGGGAGAGGGAGAGAGAGATAGAAACATCAGTGATGAGAGAGGATCATTGATCTGCTGCCTCCTGCACACCCCCTACTGGGGAGTGAGCCCGCAACCCAGGCATATGCCTTTAACAGGAATCGAACCCAGGATTCTTCAGTCTGCAAGCTGACTCTCTATCCACTAAGCCAAACCAGCTAGGGCAAGGTGCAATTATTTTTAATTGCAGTTCTAATTTTGGAGATTTTACTGAATATGTTAAAGAGTTACAATAATACATCTTCTGCAGCATAAAATTTCATGTTTTCTCATCCAATATTGGACCTCATTACCAGAGAGACTTTATTTTTGTATCAGGAATGATGAGGAAAATAAAGAAAAGTACCCAGAAAAAAATTAAATCACCATTATCCTCTCACGTAGAGAAAATTGCTATTGATATTTTTGTATTTATACTTACACATTTATTCTCCTTAGAAAATGAGATCATGCTATTTTATGATTTGCTCTTTTCACATACTACAAACAGGTTTTCATATCAGGTTCAAGCTCCTTTAGTGGAAAAATGGCTACCTTGTCTCTACCTCCCCCTACTCTTCCTCTCTAGTCATTTGGTATCTCAAACTCATCCACTAGTAAATTCTTCAGGAAAGGCCCTGGGGAATAACATTCCCTAAATTCCTGAATATTTAAAAAAGTTGTGGACATTATACTTGAAAATAATTTTGGCTAGATATATAATCCTGAGCATATATTTTGTTTCCTCAAGTTTCTTAAATATACCACTCCATTTACCTCTGGCATAAAGTATTGCTGTAATAAATAACTCATAGTCTGGTTTTGGGTGTTTTTTTCTTTATATCTGACTTGATCATTTTGCCTGGATAGCCCAAATTTTTTTTTTTAATCTAGTAATTTTTCTAGAGTGTCTTGGTGGTGGTCATTCTGGGTCAATTATTTCAAGTATGTAGTATACCCACGCTCTATCCACTGAGCCAAACCGGTTTCGGCGGGGTCAATTATTTTCAATAATGTTATTTCAAAACCAACATTTTAAAACTTTCAGGAAAGTTTTCTTTAGTTATAGTTGTTAATATTTATTCTGGACTTTTGCTTTGATTTTCTTCTTTGGGAATTTCTGTTACACTCATTTGGATTTTTGCTTTTTTGGTATTTGTTTTATCTGCATTTCCTTTTAATATTTAAAATTTCCCTCTTTTTACCTTTTATTTCTCTTACAATATACTTGTGTGTTTATTTGCTTTTGTACTCCTTGTTTCGTCTTCATTTCTGAAGTGAATTTTTTTTATTTTTAACTATCTCATTTCTGAGGTTTTCTAATTTTAATTTATAGTGTTCTTGTTTCATGTTTTTTGGCTTGTTTTGCTAACGTGTGGTGTAGTTCTCAGTTTTGTAGGTAAATCTTTCTGGTGATCTTTTAATCTGTTCTGTATTTTTTTTTCTTATAGTAACTTTGTGTGGGATTAGGATTCAGTTCTTTTCTATGGCTCCTTTTTTATGAAATCAGGTTTCCTGAACTTAAAAAATAAGGGGTGGTTTAAGGTAGTATGTCTAAATCCATGGCTCTAGAGTTCCCTCTTCGGCTGAGTCTGTGAAGTGAACGTTTTTTCTTTCCCCTGGCTCTGTTTCCCTTCCATTTGTGCCTGAACCTCTACTCTGCTGCTCAATTGGGATTCTGTTCCCAGTGGTTTCTTCTTAATGTGGGGCTTTGCTTGGTTTCTTTTGAGAGTTCTAGGGTTCAGACTACTCCATTTCTTCATATCTTATTGCAGACCCAGCTGCCTTTCTCAAGTTCTCTGTCCTAGATTTCCACTAGCACCGGCTACTGCTTTGGGGTTTTTAGGTCAGGCAGATGCACTATTGCTTGCTCCTCCACAGAAGCTGATACCTTGCAGGTCTACCTGGTATAGCTTGCATTTGGGTTTTCTTAGCACCATGTTAGCTAGTTTTTTGTAGATGTGTTCATTGGCTTTTGGATTTGCTGTCTTAGTTTCTGTATTTATGGGAATATTTGGAGCATTTCAAAGAAGTGCCACCACTGTCGGTCACTGTCTTCCAAGAATCTCAACATAATTTTTAATGGCTGCAGTTTTACATGATATGAATATGACACAATTTATTTAATCATTTCTCTATTGGATTAGTTGATTTCCATTGTTACCATATAAACTGGCTGAGATGAGTATTTTTCTGGTGTAATCTTTGTATATACTCGTGATTATTCCTTAATAGTAATTTTTAGGCTGTACACCATGTAAGGAGATCTTATTCAACCATGATGATGTAACCACTCTGATCTTGGGTTGGTAGTCCCTGTACCAGCTAAGTCCTGTGGTGGGCCTGAACAGATGCAGCCACACCACCTCATTGGATCTGCACCACACAATTCACCTGGAATGGCTGGAGACCCAAAGATCCCTTCTTGTCTGAGATCATCCTGAGCTGACGTATCTGTCCGCAGGGAGCCTCAAGGTCAAGCCACTTGGCCCTGGAGCCTATTCCTTGTGGATAGGAGTCAATGGCGGCCTCAGTAGTAGTGTCCCAGTGCTCAGTGGCTGGGGCACGCAGCATCCCCATTTGAGTGGTGGCTGTTCTCTTCCCTGTGAAACCCGTGCCTCTCCTAAAAGCAGGCAGTGCATGAGGTCCAGGTGGAGCTCAAGTAGGTGTGTGTGGGGTAGGGGTGCTCAAGCTACTGGCACACTGACAGACCTGGACATACAGAAAGGTCAGGTAACCTGATCATCTAAAAGAGCAATAATGGTCTTATCTTCAGTAAATGAAAGATCAGTCAGTATTTTTTTTTTAAGATTAATTTTTAGAAGGGGTTTTTGTGAATAAAATAATATTATACCCTTTATGGCTTTTGATGCCAGTTGCCAAATTGCTTTCCAAAAATGGTTATACCAATTTGCATTCCTCCAGTAATGTAGTTCATTTTTAATCATTCTTTTAATTATACTGATATCAATAAATTAGTAGACAAGTGTTTATTAAGCATGGTGGCTTTAAACAAAAAGAATAGTTATCTCAGCTGTTCAGAATTTGGCCATCTAACAACTACACTGATGTATTGCCTAATTAAGACCAAGGAAATTACTAAAACAAGCTTTTGAGCTGCCAAGAATAGTTGTCACAAAAGCTATAGATTAATGCAAACACCATAATCATAGGAGACTGACTCTCGGAAATGGTTTCCACTTATTTTACTTTGATTTCCACATCAGGTTGAAAGAGGATGCAGTATCTTTTATAGTTTTGTATAGTGACAGCAGTGAGATGGCAGTGGCAAAGAAAAGGGAGAAATCAAAGCTGCCTTGATTTCTAGACTTGGCTTGTCTTACCTAAAAGTAATCAACTACAAGTCAAATTCAAGCAACATAGATATTTTCTCTGTCTTGTGATTGATGATAATTCCTATTACTGCTCAATTCATAGACTCAGGCACATTCTAACTAACGCAACTGGCCAGTTTATGTGCAGTTTATGCTTTGCTGTAATTTTTTTTTATAAAGTCTGAGTTTATCTAGAAATCAGCATGAAATAACTGTTGGGTATTTTATTATACTATATTTATTATATATTTTTATTTAAGATTTTATTATACAAATAGTACCCAGTTGTTAGAAAAATTAGAACTTACAACTAAGTCAAAAAGAAGAGAATAAAAATTTATAATAATTCTACCATCTAGAGATAAGTGCTGTCATGCTTGATATTTTTCTGTATGTATGTGTTTTGATCAAAACAGGATCATTGTTGTATCTACTATTATCTACTTTAAAAACATAATATGTGTTAAATGTCTTTTCAGATTTATAAACATACTTTTTTAAAATTTTCATTTTTATTATTGATACTATTACAGATGTCCCCATTTTCCCTGCCTTTGCCCAACTCCACCCAACCTCTATATCCCCCTTCTCTCTGGCTATCACCACATCGTTATCTGTATCTGTGGGTTATGCATACATGTTCTTTGGCTAATCCCTTCGCTAACCCTCATTGTAATGCCTTGTGCTCTCTATGTTCCTAGTAATGTAAGGTAAGCTAGAAACCTTGAGATTATCTTTGATGAGTTCATCTCCCTCATCCATTACATCCAGTTGGGTATCAAGTCCTCCCACTACTAACCCATGGCATATTATATGAATCCATTTGTGTCCCTCTCTGATCCCACTGTGTTTGTCCTATCTCAGACCTCTTCATTTTTAACCTAGACTGTTGCAGTTATTTCCTACATAATTGGCAATCATCCATACCTGTAATTTTTCTGAACTTTATTTTATTGCTGTTGCTAAAGCTTATTATCATAATATTTAGATGCCTCTTCTATCCTTTCCTTTTCACCCCATTACCTACCTTTCTTCTTTATATTCTTTCTTTGTTTCCTCTTTTCCTCCTTTGTGTTTTTTTTTTCTGACCCCTGAAATATTTGTACTTCTTTATATTGCTTACTAGAGGCCCAGTGCACGAAGTTCGTGCACTCAGGGGAGGTCCCACAGCCCGGCCTGCGCCCTCTCACAGTCCAGGAGCCCTCGGGGGATGTCCAACTGCCGGCTTAAGCTGGCAGTCAGACATCCTTAATGCTGACACGGAGGTGGGAGAGGCTCCCGCCACCGCAGCTGCGCTCACCAGCCATGAGCCTGGCTTCTGGCTGAGCGGTGCTCCCCCTGTGGGAGCTCACTGACTATCAGGAGGCAGCTCCTGCATTGAGCGTCTGCTCCTTGGTGGTCAGTGCGCGTCATAGCGACCGGTCGTTCCACCAACCGGTCGATTTGCATATTAGCCTTTTATTATATAGGATTCTTGCCCAAACATGCCATGCATTTTAATTGCTATTTCCTAAGCCTGTCTCCACCTTTTGAAATTTAACCATCAATCCTAGATCATCAAATGTCATTTTTTTCTTAATGTCTTCCTCAATTTGAATTAATATCTCCCTTTTCTGCCTTTCTATTGCATTTTATATACTTCATTTATATTCTGCCTCATGTTATAATATGCCTATCTTCATCCTACATGGATTTCTCTTTTATATATATTAAAAGATCACATTTTATTTAAAGAGTTATGAATTATTTCGTTGTTAATCATTACTAGGTAGTCTTTAAGGAATATCAAGACATTAAGTTTTCTCTTGAATGAAAGAGAATACCAAGTACTGTTACAGCGAATCATAAGTAAAATGCTCGATTCCATGGGAATTTTCCGTAGTGTAATTCTAAGCAGTCTCTTTCTTTTGCCCCTTTTAGGCTGGATCAGTGCATGTAAGAATTCGCCGAGATGCAAATGAACAAATGGTTCTTGCTCATGTGACCAACAGGCTGTACACTCTAGTGTCAACACTGACTGTTCAAATATTCAAGGATGACTGGATAAGGCCCTCTTTACCATCGGGGCCTGTTGCAGCTAATGTCCTAAATTTTTCAGATCATCACATAATACCAATGCCTCCTTTAAAGGGTATTGATGAGTCGAACCCTGTCACATCAACTCCAACTAAACCTAGTAGTCCACCTCCAGAATTTTCATTTAACACCCCTGGAAAAAATGTGAACCCAGTTATTCTTCTAAACACACAAACAAGACCTTATGGTCTGGGACTTAATCATGGACACATACCTTATAGCAGCGTTGTTAATCAAGGATTTGGAGTTCCAGGAATTGGAGCAACCCAAGGATTCAGGACTGGTTTTACAAATATACCAAGTAGATATGGAACTAACAATAGAATTGGACAACCAAGACCATGACATACTGTGATTTAATTTATTTTATGAGGAATATTGACTCCTTGACTTCCTTCCTATTTACTTAGTAATCCACTTTGCATTGACTGTTCAATCATTTGTTGTAAATATTAGAGAATAGTAGGCTAGTTCATGTTAAATGAAACTATATTTTTGTAAGATATAGTTAAAACAGTGAGAAACTTCTAAATGTTGTAGGCTTTAAATAGGCTTCCTTTAGAAAGTGTATTTCTCTAAATTTGAATTTTGCTATCTTTGGTTTTGAAGTTGACTACAGTGTGATATGAGATTACCTTTACAAGAGAACCATTTGATGGAGTAGATCTGTCACATTATATTCTCTTCAGTGAAATTTATAAAACTGCTTCTTGAATAATGATACACATTTTAGGAAAGGATAAAAATATCCATTCTAAAAGTAAAAAAGTCTCTTTTATGGCTTTTCCAAACTTAATTGCTACATTTTTCTTTGAGGTCCTCTGAATTATGTCTTGCAAAGTAAAAGCAAAAATTTATTAGAAATTTTAGAATATATACTACTACCTAGTTTTTGTTTTCATCGGTTGACCACCTCCTGCACTGGGGATCGAGCACACAATCTGGGCAATTGCCCCTGACTAGAATCCACAGCCAGACTGGCTAGGGCATATTACCTAGTTTTGTCATTTAAAAATTTCAATACATTTGTAAATAGTCCATGGTTCTCAAAGTGTTTTTTTCTGGTTAATAAGTACCAAATCCTTTAGTGATGTGCAATAAAGGAATCCCAGTTTTCTCTCTTACACATAATCTGATTCTGACATAATGATGGAATTTATCTTTTTTTGTAACTTTTTCATTGGTTGACTTAATTTCTCATTTTTTAAACAAAACATATCAAATATGTTACCAAAATATATGGGATTCAACAAATGTTATAATATGGGATTTGATATCTTTTCAAAGTTGCACAATCAGTTTGAGATATTATAAATTTTTACCAAAAGGTAATGGATCTTAAATTATAGAGTACAGTATTTTCAGACTTGCTACAGGCAGTTTTTAACTTGTTTTGTTTTGCTTTGTTAAACAATGAATTGTTAATGTGATGAAGTATGAGAATTATATAGATTATTTTATTTTTTGATTACTTTCCAAGTGCACATGTTAAGAACTTTCTAATGTGACCAATATTCCATATAAAAAATATAACAAGCAGCAATTACCGATGAGGTTATATCATGAGTTTTATGGTTAGGGTTTTAAAAAGGGATTTTAAGAGTGGATTCAACTTTTCTAGAATCCAGTGACTCCTAGAGATTTGTGACTTTTCCAGCCATTACCCAGCTATCTAGAGAAGATTTATGTTCCTGTAGAATTTGCAACAGTTTCTTCAATCAACTCATCCTCTTTTAAATATGAGCAGCACTTCCAAATCCTATTTCTTCACTGTGGAATAACAAACATCTAAGAAGCCATTCTATCACAAGTAGTTAATCCTGTGATAATAAATGACCATGTCCTAAATACCTTTTGCTTTCTGAGGAGTTGGTCATTGTCTTGGCATCTGCGACCCTGTTCGGGCATTTTACCTACTGAAGAAATAGAGTCCACACTACTTTGACTGTTGGTGAAAAGGAATAAGGCAACCTGTTTCTTGTCTTTTGTCTTATGTTCTCCATTACTATTGCCTGTTATTGGTCTACCATTACAGGGTGGTGTTTCCTCCATTGACCTCATCTAAATGTGAATTCGGGTCTTGCATGAAATCTGAAGGACTGTCATGTGCTGAGGGATGATGATTCAGAGGTATGTGCTGCCACCGTATGCACAGGTGCTGAACACAGTTCTGTGTGAGGTTAAATGCCTACTTTCTCAACACGCACTCAGAAGCAACATCTGTGCAGTTGTCCTACCAAAGGAGCTTTCAGGTCAACCTACACTATTTGAGAAGTTGCCTGTGGGTTCTGAAGGAATTGGCTCTACTTGCTGAACTTCATTACTGCCATCTGCTATAGGTGACTTTGGTCCTTGCATTATGATATAACGTCTTATTTGCCAAGCTCTGGCCAGCTTCCGGATATGAAAACAAGAAATTTGGCCAGCATAGGCCTTTAGACAGTAGCCTTACTGGTAAATCTTGTCATGGAGTTACTTGAAGCTAGACAAAAAAAAGGAAGTTCAAATTACATACTTGCCCCATGGTTTGTGATTTAAGAGCAAGCTTCATGGAATATGATGAACCCTGTTTGAGAAATCACTGTTCGTAATGGAAAAAAACATTGGACTGGAAGACAAGAATTGGATTCCAAAACTGATACTGCCGCTATGTAAGTAGTTCTGTAACCATGGGCAAGTCATTTAACTTCCCTGAGCTTTCTCATCTGTAAAGATAGGGTGGGGAATGAATTAGTTGATCTGTAAACTATCAACTCTAAAATTTTATGACTAAATCTATAGAATATGTGCCCAGTTGCTAAACAATATTGTACCCAGAATTTCTTTCCAGTGACTACCTCAACATATAGGCCAAGTGTTACCTATACCAACACCCAAGCCATTAATTTGAGGTGCCATGAGAATAGAAGGTGAACTGCAGGCTAACACCATTTAGGAATTAGCTTATTTCAGACTTGCCTCGAATAAATCTTTTAAATCTGTTTAAACAGATTTTTCTTAGTCTTCTTTCTTTGTGGGAAAGGATTATTTTTTTTATTATACCTTGTAATATGCATTAAAAAACAACAACACATGAAACCCATGGTTTCACGATATCACTAAAGATGAAATTTGAAGTACATGATGTTAAACCTAAGACAGACTGAAGAAAAATATTGAGTAAGTGGTACAGGAGGGCAATTTGGAAGTATATAAAAAACAAAATTATAAATAGCCTATGACTTTTTTCTTTTTTACTTTTTTCTTTCTTTATTGATTAAGGTACTACATATGTGTCCTTATCCCCCCATTGCCTCCCCACCCCCCGACTCATGCCTCACCTCCCTGGTGTCTGTGTCCTTTGGTTAGGCTCATATGCATGCATACAAGTCCTTTGGTTGATCTGACACCCACCCTCCCCTACCTTCCCTCTGAGGTTTGACGGTCTGATCAATGCTTCTCTGTCTCTGGATCTGTTTTTGTTCATCAGTTTATGTTGTTCATTATATTCCATAAATGAGTGAGATCATGTGATATTTATCTTTCTCTGACTGGCTTATTTCACTTATCATAATGCTTTCCAGTTCCATCCATGCTGTTGCAAATGGTAAGAATTTCTTCTTTTTTACCACCGCGTAGTATTCCATTGTGTAGCTGTACCACAGTTTTTTAATCCATCCATCTGCTGATGAGCACTTAGGCTGTTTCCAAATCTTAGATCACTGGGTCAAATGGGAGTTCGATTTTTAGTTGTTTTTTTAAAATATATTTTATTGATTTTTTACAGAGAGGAAGGGAGAGGGATAGAGAGCTAGAAACATCGATCAGGTGCCTCCTGCACACCCCCACTGGGGATGTGCCCGCAACCAAGGTACATGCCCTTGACTGGAATCGAACCCGGGACCTTTGAGTCCGCAGGCCGACGCTCTATCCACTGAGCCAAACCGGTCAGGGCCGATTTTTAGTTTTTTGAGGAAACTCCATACTGTCTGTTCTCCACAGTGGCTGCACCAGTCTGCATTCTCACCAGCAGTGCACGAGAGTTCCTTTTTCTCCGCATCCTCGCCAGCACTTGTCATTTGTTGATTAAATAACCTTGACTCTTTCAATTCAACTTCTAGGCATCGATCACAGGTAAATTTTCACACACACACACACACACACACACACACACACACACACACGATGTTCCTATGTATTTTGTAATATCAAAACCAGAAAATAGTCTTACTGTCACAAAGGATTATTTTTGCGGGGTGTTGGAGTAAAGATTAGGACAAAGTACCCTTTGCTTCCATAGAGTAATGAAAGAATGGGGTGCATTTTTATTTCTTCCTTAATCTCTGAAGTCACAGTTGAAATTACATGTATCAGCAACTAAGGTGGACTCAATTTCAAGGCAATCTTTTTTGGGAGTCTGATCTGCTTTTCATATAAGAAAATGCTTTTCACATTCCAAATTGTTTGAATTAAACTTTTTGAATAAAGAACAGACATGGAGTTTTATGATTTTAAATAATTCTGGCTTGTTTCTTTACTCAATAGCTGTTTATTGGTAATTTAATTCTCATATTTAGCAAATATTTGTTGAGAATCTAGTACATGTCAGGCACTGTGCTAAGTAAATGTGCATACAGTATATCAGTTCTTGTGACCTATTTTTTTTTTCATCTTTGTTGTTTAAAGTATTACATATGTCCCCCCTTTTTCCCCATTGACCCATTCTAGCCCACCCCCAGCCCAAGGTCTTCACCACACTATTGTCTGTGTCTATGGGTATGCATATATGACCTGCTATTCTTGAGACCAAGGGGACCTGGGATGAAGAAGAGTCCCCTTCAACTATCTGATAATCCTATTAGGAATCATGAAACACAGAACTATAGCACATGTCATCTGTAAACTTCCTTCCCCTTCCCTCCCTTCTTTGGTCTCATTTGCCTGGCATCCTCTTTTTATTTTTCCTGAATAGTGAAAATAAGAAAGATTTCCATGCAAGAGTCCAGCTAAGGAAGTGATGGTGCCACACATCATCCTGATATCAGTAAAGGAAGAGGCAGTTTAGAAGGGGCGAGTTGGGCAGACATTGTTGACAAGGATAATTTTTAGGTGGATAATAGATTGCCATATACTTTCCGACCCTTGGATTATATGAGCAAAGATTTTTAAATCACCAGGCGGAAAGTAATGGAGTTCCCCAGAGCATTCATGGGCTCAGGTTGCCCTTTATTTAAGCAGTTACTAGTTTAAAGGCACCTTTAATAACACTGATATCATCATCATCAAATTGCCACCCAACAAGCCTAGCTTCTTGCAAAAAAGTTAACTTTGATAACACATGGCCAAGTTTTCTGACTAATGCTGCATCGGGTAAAAATCTTTTAGTACTGAAGTCAAAAAACACTAATTGCTTAAGGTTTTCAAATACACCCATGAAGGTAAGCCATCCATCACTGCTCACACAATTTCCTGCCAAATCCAGCTGCTGGAAGTTTTTCAGAGGGTTCTTTTCAAAAAATGCACCTGGTGAAAAATAAAAATTAGTATTTTAGTTGGAAGCAAACAGTTTTTTAAAGAGAAATGGCCATGTTTGAACCAGTGCCTTACTTTCGAAATTCTCTATAGATAGGGCAGTGATTATGAATGTAGTCCATTGTATTTACAAATTACATTATTTGTAAAGTGTAAGGGAATCTGGTAAATAGTAATTAGTATTTAATTAACCAGTATAATTAAATAATGTAATTATCCTATACAATAAAAGGCTAATATGTACATAGCCTAGACCAGTGATGGCGAACCTTTTGAGCTCGGCGTGTCAGCATTTTGAAAAACCCTAACTTAACTCTGGTGCCGTGTCACATGTAGAAATTTTTTGATATTTGCAACCATAGTAAAACAAAGACATATTTTTGATATTTATTTTATATATTTAAATGCCATTTAACAAAGAAAAATCAACCAAAAAAATGAGTTCGCGTGTCACCTCTGACACACGTGTCATAGGTTCACCATCACTGGCCTAGACAGTAGAACAACTGAACAACTGGTCGCTATGCCGTGTGCTGACCACCGGAGACACACGTGTCATAGGTTCGCCATCACTGGCCTAGACGGTGGAACAACCAGAACAACTGAACAACTGGTCGCTATGCCATGCGCTGACCACCGGGGGCATGCATGGACCATGGTGGGCATCGGCCGTGGCAGGATGGTGGAGCAGGTGAGCGGGGGTGCCAGACCAAGGTGGGGCACCCGGTCACTGTCATCAGGGTGAGCCTCTTGTGGTTACTGAAAATTCTTTGCTCCCGCATGTTGCGGTCCCACCTGGCACTCGCACCTGCTGCCAGCACTGGAGCCATTGCTCACACCCACTGCCGGCACCCGGTGCTGGCCCCAATCACTCAGTGCCATCAGCAGGTGCAAGCAGCAGCTGCCAGCCCCGATCGCCCCTCAGGGCTTCTCCACCTCCCCCTGCTCCTGAGGGGAGGTTGGGGCCAGCAACCGCTGCTCACACCCTCTGCCAGCGACGGCCCCACTTGCACCCACTGCCAGTGCCCGGCACTGGTCCCAATGGCTTGGCACCATCAGCGGGTGTGAGTGGCAGCTGCTGGTCCTCATCGCCCCTGAGGGCTTCTCCACCTCCCCCTGCTCCTGAGGGGCGATCAGGGCAGCAACTGACGCTTGCACCCAATCCTGGCACCGGCGAGGAGCAGGGATGCTGGCAGATGGTACTGGGGGCTGCGGTGGGAGGGGCCAGGTGGGGGCACAGAGGATGGGCCTAGACCCACCCCTATGCCTACTGGAGCCTCTTGGCCCACAGTTCCTTTCAAGGTGCACGAATTTGTGCACTGGGCCCCTAGTAATTAATATAATTTATAACAAGTATTTAAAATAGCATCTAGCCGAAACTGGTTTTGCTCAGTGGATAGAGCGTCGGCCTGCGGACTGAAGGGTCCCAGGTTCGATTCCGGTCAAGGGCATGTACCTGGGTTGTGGGCACATCCCCGGTAGGAGATGTGTGGGAGGCAGCTGATCGATGTTTCTCTCTCATCGATGTTTCTAACTCTCTATCTCTCCCCCTTCCTCTCTGTAAAATATCAATAAAATATATTTTAAAAAAATAGCATCTATAATGTAAATGCAGTTGATTTAATTAGTATAATTCCTTTATATTAGCAAACCATTATAAATGAATTATATATTTTTCCCTTTTTCTGACCCTTCCAGGAAATGGAAGATTGCTTAAAAATTTAAGTGCAAAAGATGCTATTAAATAATCAGTACTTATTTTCAAAACTGGAGTCAAACTCCCAGTAATCTTAGATCATTGTCTCTTCTGAGAAGCAAACACTACCTGTTGTTTCTTGGGTATGGAATACCCCTCACTGTAAACTTGAATAAGTAAGCCTCCTTCAGTGTCTCAAGATTTGGGTTTCAGGGTTGTTCTTTTAATCCTCCCTGGACTCTTCAGGAACCTCCTCCATTCCTTACAGACCAGGGCACTCTAAAGTACCTCCTACAAAGGGAAGGTAGATGTTCTAGCCATGACCTTGAAGTCAGAGATAACTCGCTAAGGAATGGAGGAATAAAAAAATGTAGGTTTCTGGGTCTGGAAGACTGCAAAGAGCAAATCCACTCTGGACCAGTAGAGGACAGGGAAATAAGCTTAGTCTTCTGTAAACCATGGTGTAGTTGGGTCTTGTTATACCAGCTTAGCCTGTGTCCAGCCCAACTCATACGTAGGGCCTCCCTTTCACCTCTACTTCTCATAAGGAGCCCTTGTTTTTTCCTTATAGGTAGCTTTCTCCCTGCTCCTTCTGTCTCTGCCTTTTTCATGTGCTTCCCAGCATGGCATGCACTCAGTCAAAATGCTGGTTGTCAGTGTCTGTAAGGCTCCTGCCCCAAAGAGCAACTTCTTTTCTCCTTGACTAGAAGACCAGATTCCACCACCTAAAGGGAACTTAAAAAAGAAGAATTTAAAGCCCATTCCACCCTCAGAGGTGAACTATTTATACAGGCAATCTACTAAAGTTTAGGTAAGGCATCAATAAGAACTCCTCGGATACTCATTAGAACATGTGCAAGCACGGGAACAACAAGCATGATCTGAGGGCATGCATTCTGTTCATGTAATCTGCAGTGTTTTTGTCATCACGATGAGCAGACTGGTCCTGAGGGAAAAGAAATCTGACATTTAATGCTGTGGGCTGTGCGTGGGCTGTGGAGAATGGAAGTGGCTTGATCCAAATTCCAAGCAGAATCTCAAATGCTCTGGGTAGAAGGACTCCGATCCTTGAAGGGTTCCTGTGGAGAGTGGCTACAGTGTTTGGACAGGTTATGGTCCGAACCTGTGGTCCCACATGGCTAAGTGATATGGGCTGCGGGATGTGCAGCAAGTAAACAAAGCTTGATCAGGTGCATGTAATTGAGTAGATTAAACCCACGAGAATGTTGTAAACATCTTGACCACGCCCTTACTTTGCCTCCTGGAATCTGGCTATAAAATAAAGACTTGGCTTGCAGGCCTTGGCACTGTCTCTCCATCAGAAAGGGCAGCAGCGCTCCACCCAGACCCAGCTTTCTTCTCTTGCCTGTCTTTTCTAACCCTTCACCGGGACCCCCTCTCAGGCTCACCGAACCTGGCTGTGCTGGCCCAGCACAGGTTCCTGCATCCTAAACAAAATTCTAGCATTGCCAGAGCTCTTACCAGTTTTTCATTCTGCAAACATTTTTGAGTGCCTACTGTGTACCATGGATTGTGCTTGCTAGGGGCTGGGGATAGCTGAAAAGGGCAGACGTAGTCCCTGTCTTATTGGGCTTACAATATAGTGTGAAAATATACGTTATAAATTAAATGGGTGCTGTGGTTATTGATTTCAGAGAGGAAGGGAGAGGGAGAGAGAAACAGAAATATCAATGATAAGAATCATTGATCAGCTGCCTCCTGCACACCCCTTCACTGGGGATCGAGCCCAAAACCCGGGCATGTGCCTGACCTGGAATCGAGTTGTGACCCCCTGGTTCATAGGTTAACACTCAACCACTGAGCCATGCCAGCCGGGCTATTTTGCCTTTAGTTTCACAGATAATTTCCCAAGTTATTAGGTTAATTTCCTTGCCCCTCATTCCCTGCAGTGAGATTGTTTCATAGTTTGTAATATAGTTAGGTTGTTTTGCAGTCTGCATTTTGTCCTCAGGTATCTCAGACCTCCTAAATGATTTTTTAGTTTGCATACATTAAGGTTCACTCTTTGTGTAGTAAAGTTCTATGGGTTTTGACAAATGCATACTGTCATGTATGCACAATTACAGTATCATGCAGAATAGTTCCACTGCCCTAAAAACACAGAGCTGTGTCTGTTTAACCCTCTCTCCCCTCCTCCTGAGCCCCTGACATTTCCCTATGTCTCTTCAAGGCTTAATAGCTCATTTCTTTTTACCACTGAATGATATGCTACTGTGTGGCTGTACCACAGCTTGTTCATCCATTCACCTACTGAAGGACATCTCAGTCGCCTTCAGCTTGGGGCGATATTCAGTAAAGCTACTACACACATGTGCTTGTGTCTCCATATTGACTAATGAAATGATGTCACTCTTTCTTGAACAGTCTTACTTGATTTTTATCTATTTTGTTATTCTTTTTAAAGGATCAATTATAAGTGTTATTAATCTTTACTTTTGTTTTCTGTTTCACTGATTTATACAGGCAGATCCTGCAGGTGTGGTTCTCTTAGGGGCAGAAATAGAATAGTGGAGACTAGCTATAATTATAAGAAATATTAATCATGCTCTGTTAACCGTGATGGTTCTGTTCTGATTAGAGAAAGCACATTCTACCCCAGGGGTCCTCAAACTACGGCCCGCGGGCCACATGCGGCCCGCC